AAACTAAAGGACCGATATCTTCTCCAATATTTCCTTTCACTGTATTAAATTCTGAATATTTTATTTTCCTAGTAGTTTTCCCACATGAAGAATAACTTACCCATTTTGGGATGTTTATTTCAGCCTTATAGTCCAAAAAAGTAACATATTCATCCTGTGAAAAAACTACATGAAAAATATATTTTTCTGTATTTACTGCAGTGAAAGGAAATATTGGAGAATGTATTTTTCCTTTAGTTTTTGCAGAGGAAGAAACCATTCTGGGTTTGTTTATCCCCAACTGTACAGTTCACACAAAAATACAATTTAATTTTGACTGCAGTTTTTCCACAAGGATAAATGTTTAACTTCGTGTACTGTAGGGTAAATATATGGGTAATGACATACTGCATCAATTTAAAAACGTGTCTTTTCCCAGTAACTTAGTAAACCTTGTAAGACTTAGATGTCCCAGCTTTTCATGAACCTTGAACGCAGCATTACGTTTGTGAATCTGGAGAGGAATGAAAGTCTCAAAATTCATATTCAGACACGTTGATCCATGCACTCGTATTGAATGATCAGCCTAGAGCAGGTTATTTGTGCACAAGTATGTGCACAATACTCCTTCTTGTGCCTTTTGAAACGTGTACATTTGAAAAACTTTATGAATTCATGAGTCTTGTGACTTGCTGTATGCTTTTGTAAAATTTGTTGTACGCTTGTGTGACTACTTTTGACACTAATTTATCTCCATAGCAACAAAGACACAAAGGTACAGACATCTTACCTCAGTCTTGATGACATCACAGCCGTCATCCTCCTTCTGCTCCACGTCTAGAAGAAGACAGCAACACAATGGATGGTTTGAATCATTGGAAGAACCAAGGGAACAGACTGGTTGATAATCTCACACTGCCTTTTATTCATCAATCAACAATGTCAAATATTTGTTGTGTGAAAGTTACATCAGCCTTTTTTCCAAACTTAAAAATAAATAAATAAATAAATCCAGCAGCTGCTCCATATTTTAGCTACTCATATATAAAAATGTTCAACTTATGTGAAATATGGGGACTGTGAGTTTTCTTTAGTAAGTTTTAAACTTTTTAAATTATTTGATTTACAAATATTTTCCCAGCAAACATACTCTTAAATCCTTGTGAATACATAAAAGCTTTAGGATGTTTGCTCAGTTAATGTTTTAAATTGCTTTTTTTCAACATTTATCTCTTAAATAGTATGTTGCTACTTTTAGCATATAGCTGCAATTCTACTACTTTTAGCTACTTTTGATACTTTGCACTTCTAGTTAGTCTTTTTCTATGTTTGGGGTGGCACAGTGGCTCAGTCGGTAGAGCTGCCGCCTCTAAGCGAGGAGGTTGCCAGATCAAATCCCCGTCTGGGACATTTCTGGGTGGAGTTTGCATGTTCTCTCCGTGCTGCGTGAGTTTTCTCCAGGTACTCCGGTTTCTTCCCACAGACCAAAAACATGCATGTTAGGCTGATTGGTAACTCTAAATTGTCCCTTAAATAGTTGTCTTGTTTGTCTCTATGTGTCCCTGTGATGGACTGGAGACCTGTCCAGGTGTCCCTGTGATGG